TAGTCCAAAGCCACCTTTCCCAAATTGATGGCCCACAGCAGCTTTAGAGTGCAATTCACATCATTCAGGCATTGGCCATGCTGGCTGGGTGATGATGAGTGTTGTCATACAAAACATACTGATGGTTGGCAAAGGTTGGTCCAAACAAGGAATCTCACGCAACTGATGTGGCACTTTGTGCATTCATGGGTCTAGGGGAAGTCGCTTTCCTAAATGCCTTTCTGGATATGATGGTGTTGTTGTCAGATGCTGAGCAAATTGCATAGGCTGTGAGAGTTAGGCTAAGGACTCAAAGGCACATCTGCTCAGCTGCTACACTGAGAGCCAATGCAGCTTGAACTCTGGAGGCTTTACAGAGAGGGGTGGCTGAGATCTAAAGGTTGGTGGCTTTGCAGAAATATGCGGTGGTACAATTTCTGAGATTAAACATCATCCTTGTGGCATCTTGGATGAAAATTAAATTGGTTATGGTAATCTCCCCTCATCCTGCAGCAATGTATAGGAAAGGTTTAGCAGCTGACATTCTAGCTTGGGGTGATAAACTGGATGCTGGATCCCGCCTTCACCTCATGGGCAGTGCCACCCATCTGTCAATCACCTGGCATCATTAAGATGTCTGGTGACTTCTTGAAAGGGCTCACATCTGAAGTCGGTATGGAGGCAGTTTCAGTATGAAAAGCTTGCAAACAGACTTTAAAGTGATGGTTATCAGTGCCTATAAGCTAAGCAACATAGATAGCCCCTTTGCAAGTGGTTTGCATTGAAACTGCTTGCAAAGGGTGGTGCCAAGAGACCCCAGTTTCAATTCCCTTTGCAATCAGTTTTAAACCGCCTGCAAATGGACCACAAAGTGTTGGCATCCATGCCTTTAACTGCCTCACACCTGATGTCACAGGCGGCATTAAGGAGGGTGTGGTTTGGGGGGAAATGGCCCTGTGGATCCCTGCAGGATCTAATTAGACTTTAAGGTCAAAGGTTCCCTATTCGTTTTCTAGTTCACCTGCTCTTGTTTGCAAATGAATCCTAACTCTCCTATGTGTGCTGCACCAAGCATAAGGTTCAGTCCTTGGCTCCAAACGAAAGAGGGTTTGTCAGCTCCTTGCTTTTGCAAAGGAATAAAATTTAACATGGTTCAGGAGTGCTTGGCAAGGTACTTTAGGAAGCAGGGAAGTGATGGAGAAGGGTTGGTGCTGATGTTACATCTTGCATGTTTTCTGAAGACATGACCCACAGCTCTTAATGGTGGTGCGGCCTTGAGCTAGCCAGAAGCACTAACAAGATGATTGATCTCTATTTACCGTATATACTCGAGTATAAGCTGACCCGAATATAAGCCAAGGCACCTAATTTTACCACAAAAAACTGGGAAAACTTATTGACTCGAGTATAAGCTGGTTCACCACACCACAAGCCTGGTGGTGGTGGCAGCAGCGGAGGAAGAACAAGCAGCCCAAAAGGTCTGCTTTCAGGCTGCTCATTCCTCCTCCACTGCCGCTGACAGCAGCAAAGGCGGAGGAGGAGGAAGGAGCAGCCTGAAAGGACCCTCACTTGAGTATAAGCCGAGGGGGGCTTTTTCAACATAAAATATGTGCTGAAAAAGTCTGCTTATACTCGAGTAGATACGGTATGTCACAACAGTGGCAGGAGGGGATAGGGTTAGGCTTTCCTGACTGAGATGTAATAAGGAGGAAAGACAGTGATCTGTAACTGGCCATCCCCAGAGTTGGAATCTGATAAATGAAACAGAACAACACACACACACACACACACACACACACACACAACATTCAGACTTCCCACCACCATCAAGATGAAAAAATGCCTGGGATCATATCATCTAATGAAATACAATTAAACTTTATAGGTCTAAAATTGTTTCAATAGGCCCATCAATTGCATCAGCTCAAACTAATAGCAAAATTTTACGAGTATACAATGGCTTGCCTTGTAATTATCACAAGGGAGCATTTTTCCTAAGCTCTAATTTGAATGGATATTGGTTTAATTCATCAGAATCCCCCATTATTGCATTGCAGGTAAAGCATTAAGTTATTACTCATGCACAATGCAGTGTCTGAAACAAAGCGAACAGAGAGAAACAAATTTATTCCAATTCTAATGAAAGCAACAGTGCCTTCCCCCCCTCTTTTGCTGTTGCTACTCTAATGGCATCCTACGGGAAGCAGAAACCAATTTGTGCACCACAACTCCTGTTTATATGGTTAATCACACCAATGGATATACATTTATTAACTTTAATGCAGTAAAAACACTGGTTGTATTTACTCAGTACATTTAATATGGTTAGCGCAGTGAAACATTTTAACATGCCACTGTTAAACAGTTATATATAGAATGGTATCCACACACACACACACACACACACACACACACACATATACACCTTAGACAGTGGTAAAATGAGGGAAAAGAGGAATGTGATGAATTTCATATATCAGGTATGTTTGACCACTTTACACTCTGTTCACTAATCCATCTCTGCTGGAGGAACTGCTTCCATTCCAGACCTCTGGGCAGCTTCAAAGAGCTGACATTTAAAAAGAAGCCCACTTTATGCTAAATCACCTTTCACATTTCTTAATGGCGCTTGTGAAGAAAGAAAGAAAATATATAGCTTCTCTCATATGAAAGCTGAAGAACTATCATGGAAACTATTGTGATTCTGTTGAGGGGAGGGGGGATGTTCAAAGAATCTAAGCAAGTCTGCTTACTTGTAGATTAAATTTAAGTTCCAACCGAGACATTCAGGCTTTGCTATGAGCACAAAAATCCCCCTGAAGTTCTGTGTTGGATATTTTATAAAATGAGACTGATGGATCTTGAGGGGGTGATGGCTGTTTATGCATCTTGGTACCTAGGTATACGTAGAACCATAGAACTGTAGAGTTGGAAAGGGATCACAAGGGAATCTCAACTAAAGCATCCATGACAGGTGGCCATCTGACCCCTGCTTAAAAACCTCCAATGGAGGAGAGTCCACAGCCTCCCAAGGCAGTCCATTCTAGTGTCGAACAGTGGCAATAAGTATACAGCCACTTAGATGAATGGGATGATATAGTGAAGTCTGGCGACACTAGCAGGGCACATCTGTAACAACAGACTGGCATGACAGTCAGCCGAGAATCAAATTCATGCTGGTTTAAGTTTTGGGTAGTGCTCAAGGAATGTAGGGAGATGCTGCTCCCTATAACTTACTGTTCTCCCTTTGGGCTTAGTCTCCACTGCTACCCAGAGAAAAAGGGCAAATGAGCAAGCAAGAAGCTTCTGTTTCCTTCTGCTGTCTCCCCTTGTTTGCTGGTGCTCCCCTCTCCCTGTGCCACAGGGACAGAGTAGGTGAGCAAGTGGCAGTGGCAAGCAGGAATTTCTACTGCAGAATTACTGTGGAGAGTGGGGGAGCCAATCCACTCAACACGGCTACTTTGAATTGGACCACTGTTTTTATCCAATCATAGCATTAACCTTTTATTTTAGATTCTGCATATCGTAACTGGCAGTTTTCTCCAGGGAAAGTTGTGGGTATTAGAAGTATTAAATGGAGTAATAAAATAACTTGAAGCCCAAAGGGATTTAAAAAGCTTTTAAAACGTAAGCAGTTATGAAATCAGTATTATGGGCTATAGACCCCATTTGATCTCTGCAGAAAATGCAAGAGTAAATAGGCCTTAATCATCATACATCCATTATGATATTGCTTCAGACTACATTAGCTAAAAAATGTTATTCTGTGAAATACCTTGCAATAATATAGGCATATACACTTATTTATTGTAATTTGAATGTGAATGATCTTTTTTTTTAAAAAAAAAAAAGCATTAGAGCTCAACTGACTGCTCATGGTAAGGTTTATATACTTCCATTTTAACAGAGCTGATTGGCAGAGAGCAAGAAATAACGTTTCTGACTTTGAGTCCCTCCAGTTGTCCTTCTGTCACACATTCATATGATCTGCGCTCATGGTGGTATCAGGAAAGTTAGACACAATCCCATTTTCAATACTATTTGGACCTGCAGATATTGTGGGATGGGAGTGCTGATTTTTTCCAATCACTGCATGCCCTGTAGCTGCCTGCTGATATCCTGTGATGTTTTCTATCACAAATGTTTTGGAAGGTGGTCTTTTTGGGTCCTGTTTTTGATGCACTGTATTATTATTATTATTTCAACTTATACCCAACCCTTGTTCCCAAAGGACCCCAGGGTGGCCAGAGTGCCCCTCCAGACAGCAATAATATGATAACATTGGGGAAGCATCACATGACAACTAATAAAGCAGAATGATGTGTGGACAGTCTGGTACAAATCCACCACTGATGCACTATTATAATGTTGGTGGCATGTCGTAGAACACCTCACCCTAAATAAAACTGCCTAGATGAGCCCACTGCGAGCTATAATAAAGTTGTAGTCTAATTCACCTTAGTGTCAGTCCCCTATTTTGCTTCTGTGATAGGATAACAATACTGAATTGTGTATTATTGAAGTTTTGGGGAAAGTAGTTTTGGACGCTGTTGCACTGAAAACCATAAGTTATAAGAAATGAGCTGTACATAAACATATTTCAAGTAGCGTCAGAACTTCTAATTTTATTAATAGTTTCCCAGTATACAGAGAAACCAAATGGTAGTTAAAGCAATTGTCTTAAACAGAAATTCAGCAGAGATGCAGAATAAAGTGGAGAGTGCCTGATGTTAGAAGAATTTACCCCCTTTAAACACAGAGCAACTAGAGCAGTAGATCTAAGCACACAGGGTTGTATAGGACCACAAACATGGGTCTCTTAAATTGTAGTTCTTTATTTGGTGAGCAAGGCCTGAGAGCCAGGGGTCCCCACTCTACTCTTGGCTGAGATGTTCATTATGATCTAGTGGTTCCCAAACGTCCCCCTCCATAGACCATTTGAAAATTGTTGAGGTCTTGGCAAATGACTGAATGATTTGTTTTCCTGCCTGCTGTACCTGCTGTGATACGCTGTAGTAGATGCTGCACGATATTTTTAATTGCTTGTTTATTGCTTCTTTTCATTGCAATTATAATATTATAAAATACAAAATAGGAAATAAAATCCCCACATTTCATTTTATTATATTAAACTTTGAAATCTATGAAATTGAATTTTGTAAAGCAAAAATAATAAGTAAGAAGTAAAAGAAGCAATAAGAATAGAATTAAAAATCAATATGAATATTTAGTGCAGACATGCCTCAGACCACCTGAATGAAACTTCTGGACAACCGGTGGTCCATGACTGGCCGTTCTGTTTGGGATGAGTGTGCTAGCAACAGAATATTCAGAAACAGTACAGTTTCTTTGAGTGTGGAGTAAATCTCAGTTTGCGGCGAGAGGAAAATTAATACAGTGCTCTGAGAAAGAAGGAGCTATTTGTTGGAAGGATGAATGTGAGCAGATAAGGGAGAATCTTTATGGTGATGGTGGTCAAAGTGACCAAAACAGAGAAGGCAAAGAGTGGAGGCAGAATAATTTAGCATATTGATTTTATCAAGAGACATACTGGGCTGCAGGCCAACCAGTTAAGATTTGTTGTTATATAGGGACTTGGGGGAAGGGCTCCACAAATGAAGCTTAATTGACATGGGGCTGGGGGCACTAGTTTCTGGGAAATAAGATTCTGCTGTCTTTGAATCCTGTCTAAAACTTCCATCATTAATTTGACTTTTTAGCTTAAGGTGGCAGATAATGTTTAAAGGCGCATCCTGTATCATCATCTTTAGTGGCTGCTGTTAGGCATGGGGGGGGGGAACCTCTCACTCTGCAGGGTAGGAGAAACTTGAAAGAACAGGGTACAGTTTGGAGTGTGTGTGAATCTGCACAGCTCCATAGATGTCAGTGGAGGTGATGTCAGTGAAACATAACATAAAAGCTGGACTAACATTAAAAGAAACAAGCCCTGGATTGCTAGAAGCTCATTTTGGGAAAGGGTTAGCTCTCAGGTTTTATTTTGATTGTGAGCATAAATACCAAATGCCCTGGAAGCAAAAATACAATGTATTGTCTATTTCACTGGGGCTGCATCTTATCTCAAACAATTTCCCAAGTGTGCCAAATGATCGCATTACAAAGCAGGAGCTCAGAGAAAGGAAGCCGGCAGCCGATACAGACTCGACACTAAGATGGGTGCACTCTTGCCACATACTTCAACAGAAAGCACTCAAAAGATTTGCTCGGAAATAAGAACAGAGATCTTGGCAGTGCAATTGCATTTGCTTCTCTAGGAAAATGCTGCCCAGATAACATTCCATACAATTCTGGAATGTGCTTATGTCTTTCTGATTGCACTGTAAATCTGACTCCATCTTAAAGACTGGCTCTGTCCCCCCCCCCACCTCTCGTTGCCCCCACCAACAAAATGGTTTTATGTTGTCAAATCCCTCTTCCTTCCCCTCCCTGCCTCCTAGTCCCTCTCACCACTTTATGACTTTTTGCCAATGGTAAATGTTATTAACTCTCCCTGAATGCCGTTGGGTAAGCTGTGAGAGCAACTCCTGCAAATTAACAAAGCCGGTCAAATTAGATTAGCCACCACTGAATGGGGCCTCCACAAAAGAGGAGACACTTCTTAGCTTCCAGCTTCATTACTGCTCGACCTGCCTTGCTTCAAAACTTGGGTGTCATGTGCATGAAACCACCCGTGGCTTTTCAAGTAGGAATTGATCTTCAAGAAAGGGAAAAGTGCTAGGACAGGAACAATGAGAGGGGCAATTATTTTGCTCTTCTTGAGCCTTGGATGTGAAAACAGACTGGGGAACAATAGAAACAATAGAGTTTATTGTTCTCTATTCATGAGCTGTCATGTGACTCCCAATGGGCCACAATAGGGCCCATTTCCTTTTGGAAATGACTTGAGATTCTCACACACTTTTAATGCGTTGTCATTTTGTGAAGGATGGCAATTGCACATTTATGGGGCTATTAACTGTGGGTTGATGAATTCTTTATTTTCTAATATATACTGCTGAGTTTTGCCATATGTACATAAAATGTTTATTTAGGATTATATAGGCTGAGCAGAGACAAGGGAGAAACATCTGGAATCAAATCTATGTGGCTGATTTAAAATAATAGTCTCCCCCACCCCATCACCACCTCATCGAAATTCTATTCAGGGAAATCCTGTCTAAGCAAAGCAAGAACATCATGGTTTTTTTGCAATGAAGCTGCATCTGTCCTAAAAGGCACATATTCCCTTAGGACTCATTAGGTCCTCTTGTATATGATAAGAAATGGGGCACATTACAGTGGTAGATTCTGATCCTTTCAGCCGTCATCGTTTAAGACACTTAGCTAGAATTGGGGGAAATATAAAAAGCAGACAGATGACCATGAAACTTGCTGTTGGGATCGAAAATGGAAGGTTCACAGGATCTGCTTGGCACTTACATAGTTTCTTATTTCAGAATATGAATATGGTGGACTAATATTCTGACTCCTCATAAGGTGGCTACAGGTGGTTGTTTTTGTTGATGTGTCTGTGTGCGTTTTAAATGGACCCTAGGCTTGAGGGTGGATGAATTTGCAAGCAAATTACGATCCAGGCCACATTGTTTGGCAGAGTGAGGTGAGCATCTTAGGTGGCAGATGCTGGAGGCGGAGAGTGGCAGTGAGGTGTTGAAGGACAGAACTGGGCCACATGGCCTGCCCTGGATCTTCTAAGCTAGCCTGCTACCCTCAGGTGCAGTGGAGAATATTGTCCCGTTAGCAGTAATAAAATAACATTCATGGATGAATGGATGAAAACATTTGTGTTTTATTTGTCATTTCCTATTAAAAACCCAAACCGAAGACACTCTTTTAGGAAACACAAGCATCTGATGACATCTCACCCCAAAGTTGCAACTGGGCTGTCTACCATTAAATTTAAACTTCAGATTCATTTTGAGAATTTCCTACAGCTCATTAAGAGCTACTTAAAATTTTAACTATTAAAAATTTAGGAACACTTTCTTTTTTTAATTCAGGTTGCCTGAAATTTTAATATCTGCTTAATTTTTAATCTGAGCCCTGACATGCATAAGGAAATGCAAAACCTGTTCTCTTAACAAATATGCAAAGTTGTAGATTTCATATACTGTAATGGAGTAGCTCATTCTGCCCTCCACCACGTAATTATTAGCAGACACATTCCAGCTTTTGGTTTTCTTTCTACAGATTTTTAAAAGGTGCAGGTTACGTTGCAATATTTTTAAGTAGCCCGATTCTGTTTACTCTGTGATGTATTGAGGGTGTACTTACAGGAATACACCACTATTACATTACAAGGTATGTCAAATGATTTTCATTCTCTAATTTTTTTTCTTTGCCTAATTAACAAGGAACTGAATTTGATCTTCTTTCTGTTAAAAAAAATAAAAAAAATCTCCCAGCAAATGTAGTTTTAAAACTTCTGCATCTCTTCCTGTCACATTGTATCTGTATTGTGTTCTGTTTTTTTTTAAAAAAACAACAACAACCATTTACAGTGTGAAGTACGACATTCTAGGAGATGATGACAGCACCTTGTCCCTAAGATTTACCCAGAATATAAAGCACATAAAGTTAAAATAATGAATTAGAGAAAGGGTGGTGAATCTGTGGCTTTCCAGATGTTGTGGAAGAACAACTCCCGTCATCCATGGCAGTTGTATGCTGGCTGTGTTTGATAAGAACTAGAATACAACAACACCTAGTAGGGGGGCACATGTTCCCCTGTTAGATTAAAGTTAAATTACCATGAATATAGGCAAGCAAACCAAACCAAACCAAACCAAACCAAACCCAAAGACATCATTATTGTGCTTTTTGTCATCCTTCAGATGAGATGGGAAAATTTCTTTACATGAACGACCTTAAGTAAACTTATTTTAGGAGCTAAGATTGGTTTGTTATTGGTTTGTTTTGTTTTTGTTAGGTTTTTTTTATCTTGTATTTTGTGAACTGCCATGAGATCTATGGATGAAGGGCGGTATACAGATTTATAATGATGATGATGATGGTGATAATAATAAATTTAATTTTATTACGATGGGGGCATATTGCTGAAAACAGCACAAGGGGCTTGCCCCAGTGGTGCAATTCAAACTACAGTGCTGTATTTCACAGTATGGATTCAAAGCCCTATATTTTAGGAATTGGAATCCATTCACCTAGTCAAGGGCCACAGAAAACTCCTTGACAGGTAGCATTCCATATGTGATCTGTTATCCCCTCATACACTCAGGTCCTTCTAACCTCTGAATCTAATCTTCAGTGGTTTTAGATACATGACATTTCTCCCCCCTCCGCTCTCTTTTTCTACCTGATCACTTTTGTTTGTGTGATAATGAGTAGGTAATCATTGTAAAATGCATTCGTAGCTAAATGAGTAATGCACTTTTTTTCCTCTTTCAATTTTTGTACATTAGAGTGAAGCTGCTTTTTCGAGCACTTATTAAGAAATGCTCACAAAGGGTAAAGGCAAACTGGTAGTTAAATTGAGGTGGGGAACGAAGCTCACATTAAGGGCACCATTTGTATAAGATATCAGAGTGGAAAAGCACATGTAAAAGGAAATAAAAGCATAATATAGATGGACCATATTTGTAGGTCCTGAGTGAGAAAAAATCAAGATAAAATAGTAAATGGAGGATAGCTTTTTAGCATTAGCAAAAAAGCAACGTGACACAAAGATTCTGCTATTGAACAACAACTTCTAATTTGTGCCCATTATCTTGCCACTACATGTGGCACAAATAAATTGTTGAGGAACTTTCTTACTACATTTCTTCTTCTAGAAATGGGCTATGCACTCAGCTTCATGACCTCCATGCACCGTGCAACCTAGATTTACACTGAGGGGAGTGGGAGACAACCAAATATGATTAGCAGACTCTAACATACGTCCGTAATATAAATGGATTCTCCATGTGGAAACAGGCTGCTTTTTAATTTTTTTTAGGTATCTACAGAGTTTTCTCCCTCAGAGTTATATGTGCATAGATAAAAACCAATGCTTGATTAAAAATACCTAGACAACTTTTTTAAAATACTCAGGGTGGCATTTTTTAAAGGGGGCATTTCCTTAACTGAATGAATAGCAAGTTCCTGATTCAAGCAGTTACATGACAAGATTGCTGAGAAAGGTGAATCTGGGATGTAGTTTTATATCCATCCGGTCATGAGATGTTCAGTTTCTTTGTTTTGTTTTGCTCACCACAACCTCGCCCCTCCCCTTTTGAGTAGAATTTAACCATAAAAGTTACTAATGCTGCCACTAGTGTAGATATTTGTCTCCTGTTCATGATATTATTCCAGCCATGTATCAAACACGTTTCCTTGTCTTCGACCAGAGTTTGCAGATTTTACTGCTCTGTATGAAGATCTCCTGTTGAACAGATGAGGGTGCAGTCAGTTTTAGCTGTGCTAATGGTAGACTGCGCCAACCATTATTGTAGTAGGTGTGCCTAAAGCCTCACTCCAGCAAATGATCTCTAATCCACATGGTGAGCTAAGTTTCACCAGACATAGCCCCACCTGTTTGCATCGGACATAGGATGAGGCAAAGAACACCTGTTTTAGTGACCTAAGGTGTAACTTGACCCAGGACTATCCTGTATCTAGGGATAAACAAATCTGTCAATTTCAACTTTTATTAATTTCTCATTTTATCCGGCCTTAAGTTCATAGTACCATATTTCTGCGTGAATTTTTGGATTTTTAAAAAGTTCTCATGAAAATTCACCAGGATTGTAGTAAACCTTTTGTTTTCTGATGTAACATTTTTACAAGCAATTTTTCCATACTGGTATGATACTTTCACTAATATATGCATTTTTATGTATACTGTCCGCTAATATACACATTTTTGTACACAGCATTTGATTGGTAGAGATGCACCACTAAATTCAGAGAAGTCTGAATTTCAAAGGATAGTTGCGATTTATTTCTTTCAGGAAGCAAATTAAATAGGTTTTCCTTAAAATGCAAAACTTTACCCCATTGTTTGTTGTTTTATGGACAACGTTCCCCATACTTTTGACATTGCTAAAGAGCCAAATCAAGGAAAAGGAAAAGGGCCTGTAGAGATAACACTCTGAATCTTGCAAGGTGGACTGTTGTAATAAAATATCTTAGCTAGGATCCAAACCAAAGCATCACCGTGTGCACAGAAGCAGTTCTGTGTACACACGAAGGTGCTTCAGGTATTCTGTTTTGTCAATTCCAGGGCATTCCCATTACTATTTATATGCTACCCATCTGACTGGGTTGCCCCAGCCACCCTGGGCGGCTTCCAACAAAATATTTAAACACAAAAAACCCTCAAATATTAAACATCTCCTTGTACAGTGCTGCCTTCAGATGTCTTCTAAAAGTCAGATAGATGTTTATTTCCTTTACATCTGATGGGAGGGCATTCCACAGGGCGGGCGCAACTGCTGAGAAATAATCTCTGCCTCGTTATGTGTCTTTGAGAAAGAAGATTGAATCACCCATGGAACAAGAAGTCCTTTACCAGCATCTCATTTCAACAAGGCACTGATGAACAATATACCAGAACTTCCCTTGCACTCCTTTGAGATGGGTGTGGGTTGGCCTGAGAGCTGGCATCATCATCTGGCATCTGTAGGAAACTACCAGGGCCTCAACACCCTGGCGAGGCTCACATAAAAAATTATTCTTTTATTAATTAACTAAAATTATATCCCCTTCCTCCCAAAGGAGCCAAGGGTGGAAAACACATAGGCGATTAAACAATTAGAACATCCGAAAACATCTTGAAAAAAATTCTAACACAGATGCAAACTGGGAAAGATCTCTACTTAAAAATCTTGCTGGCAGAGGAAGTTCTTCAGGAGACACAAAAAATGCAACAGTACCTACCTAATATTGATGGGGAGGGGGGATTCCAGAGGGCAGGTGCCATGACACTAAAGGTGTGATTCCTATGTTGCGTGGAAAGGGAATTCCTGATAATATGGTATCTGCTGCAGAAGGCAGCAGGATCTCCTGCGGGGGGCAATGGTCAGTTGGATACATGATTGGGTGAGATGCTCTTTTCAGCCCTGGGCCAACTTTCCCCCCGCCCTGGTCCTGTGCTTTAACAGCAGCTCCATCTAGTTGCCATTTTAATTTCCTACAATGCTTCCTGGCATCACAGGGACATTGTGGACAGTTTACATGGCAGACCCCAGCCAGTGCTGCTGCTTGGAGCAGTGCCAGAGGCCTGAAACATGGAGTTGCACAAACCAGAGTGCTCTGAGATTTGTATGCACAAGTACACGGAACAGTCACAAAGAGCAATGAGTCCTCCCCTTAATTTTTTTTTTTTTAAATCCTCCTTTTCTCCTTTTAAATACTCTGACTTTTTCCTTTCCATTTCATTTCTCACGGTTTGTCAGGGAGGTTATGACACTTCAGCAGGTATTCTGTGAGAAATGGTCTGGGCCATTTATACTTTTCACAGTGGCTCCTTCCCCATTCCTCAAGCTAGATAAGGAAACAAAAGAGCTATTGTTGCTTCCAATCACAAGCCAATGGAGAGGGGGGCGACACATACAGGTTTATAGACATTTGTTTTCGTTTTTGAAAAAGAAAATCTCATATCCCCTGTATACTGTTGTTAGATTAAGAGGAAAGGTAACAGGAATAATGGAGAGAATGTTTGCAGGAAAAACAACAACATTTTGCAGCACTCAGTGTTACAAATATTGGTGATTTTTAAGTTTAAGTTGCTATTTTTCAGATGCTAACTGAAACGGAGTCATCATGAAACTATCACTATTCAGATACAATTAAAAAAATCTTTGCTAGATGTCACTATCGGTTCAGTTCATAGGCGTATGGATTTTAATGACTGTGTGTAGAATTTCATGTTTTCCTGGAAGCAACAGCATTTCTATGTGATGACGTTTCAGTAAAAAGGATTTAATATCTTTTGGGGGATAAAAGGTGTCTTTTCAGAATGTATCATTGGTGCATACTGCCATTTGTGCATTATTTTTCAGTATCTTTACTCAGAGCTGCCTTTTGCTTTGTGCATCCTGCCCCTGCAAAGTGCTTAATGCCTTTCCTAATATAGCATCCAGGTTCTGCAACTGCTTGCCTAGGGAAGCCCACCTTGCCCCTTCCCTGATGGCTTTTGGATGTAGTATGGGCCACAGCTAGGACCACAGCATGCAATGAAAGGAATTAGAGCTGTCTAATCAAGTTTGTGCAGCACATATGGAATGAAGGTATGGAAGAGAGCATTGGTACAGAAAGCCCAAAGGGAGCTCCCATGGTAGGTTCTCAGTTCTCAGTTTTTCCTGGCAACAAGAGATGGTATGAATCATGTGTTAGTTGTTTTGTATTCCCAACAATACTAGTGCTTGATCAGATAGCGAG